GGACTCTTATTGAGCCTGTCTAATATGACGATTTTCCTATTTGTCCCATCCTATAAATGATAACTGTTATAATGTCACTCAAGATGTAACAGTGTAGCCAAACATCAAAGAAATCGAATAAATTACATTCCCAGTACAAAACAAGGGACAAGCTCAATATAAATATTACAGACATGAACTGGAGTGCATCGTGGAACATATAATTAACTGCTAACAAATATTACAGCCAAAACATGAAGAATTAATCAGTGTTGACCAAATTATGCCAGCTCTAAGACATTGTTGACATTGACAGCGCCTCATAAAAATACGAAGTCTTTAATTTAATCTGTTTTGCTTTCTTTGCTGCCATCTAGAGGTTAATAATGAATTTCCTCAATTATTCGCTCTCCCCATCCGTTTGCTTCAGGATCATTCAAGGTCAACTGTATTCAAGTGTCTTTCTAGGGATTAGGCTACTTCAGATTGCTATTACAATAATAAACACACACACAATTTGGTAAATACAGCCAATTCAATTGGTTTAGTATTTATTTCAGTAGCTTTTCCGATGTTAAGTTGTAATGATGTTTCTCTTTGGTTCTTGTGCCAATAACGATCTTGTGCTGTGATCATTCACTGGATGCTCAGCCTAGCAGCACTTAACTAAGTGATAAGCTGGCTCTTGGCCACTTATTAAGGGAATGTGAATATTTTTAAAACAAACCATATAAGGACTGCAAAAATGTATTTTTATGCTTCATCAAAATCATAATTTTCAATGTATGTGCAATGAAAATCAATGGCAGACTTGCAAAAATCTGTCATGTAAATGGAGGAAAAAGGTTCCTGCTTGTAATTGCTTGTCAAAATCAGTAACTGCCATGTCCAGTTCTGTCTGTCGTTTCCCTATGTTCCCTGTCTGGCCAGCAGGTGTCGCTGGTCATCCTGTTTTACTCCCTGTGTTGCCCTAGGTTTATCCTCTCACAGTCCTCATAGTCCCCGTTCCCTGGGCCACCACAAAGTTGAGTGGGCTGAGCGTTCTGCTGATTAACCATGCATCCCAAACCCTGTTCTTATAAATTCCAAGTTAATCAAGTTTCTTGTGCTTATGTACTCCAGTCTATCCTTGTCTGTGGTGTCTTTGTTTATGTTGTTTGTACCCAGTTTGTATCTATGTCCTGTATTCAGGAGTGGTGGCTCTGAGGCTATTGGATCAGTGCTGGCAATGGGATGTTTGCTGGTTTGAATCCTATGAATTCCAGGAGTGACTCTACTCTGCTGGGACCTTGAGCAAGGCCCTTAACCTGCAATTGCTTCGTCCTGGGTATGACGTTAACCTGTATCAAGCTCTGCTCCTGTCCTCCAACTTCCTGGGAAAATTTGAGGGTTGGTGGCAGGATTGGCACTCCAGCCACTGGAAAAATCCTCACACTGTTCCATTCCATTTGAAGTAGTGTGGTGCTGAGGTATTACCTGCCGCATGGCTGTGCTCGGGTTCTCATCCCTGAGGTGGGTTGCTGTGTGGTGAGTACCATGTGCTCCTAACCTCCTGCTGTGTTCCCTCAGCTTTTCCTTGTGTGTAGTTGGAGGCTTTGTAAGACCCTGCCTTTTTTTTACATCCCTCATGGTCTCCTGCATTTCTAGTTCTTTTGAGTTATAATTCAGGAATAGTTCAAGTTACACAAGTTCCTCCGTGTGTAAGTAGCCGCATTTTGGACCCAGATCCATACCCCCGCTGTAATTTCAATTATTTAAAAATGATAGTTTCTCAGTTATTGTAATGTGGATCTTGCATGATAATTTAATAATATGAAAGTAATATCTTACAAAACATATAATAATAATAAAACATTTGCACAATAGCATCCTTTAATCCAGAGCCACACACTGTCCCTGCAGTATAGAATGAGAACAATTATAACCTGAATATTACTGAGCTGACATAATTGTTTAAAATGCATTAGTCCAAAAGTATGTTTTTAGATTAATGGCTGAATTGATGTAGATTAGAAACAACAAACACATACGAACTTCAGCAAACGATGATAAAACAAAATATGAATATATTGTATACATACGTTTCGTATCAAATTTACAATTTTCAGTTAACAGAAATGATAATCATATGGAAGCAGTACAATACAATCATGAGTAATGCACTTTGCATTTATACATGCAATGTACTGTATATGGAATACTCCAGTCCCTAGCATCTTATGGTTAGGGTTAGAACCCATACACAAGGGAAAAGGGATTGAAATACTTGACACTATGGGAGAATTACAGGTGGAAGTTAGAGGAGATGATGGTACTTTCTTCAGGCATCGCCAAGGTCATAAGCTCCCCGTCAGAGCAGCTGGGTCACTGCTTTCACACTCAGCACTGTGGGAAATCACCATCACACTTTGACAGCCCTCCGGAGGTCACTGTTTATCACTTTCTTATTTTGTTGGACGGACTTTACAGGGTGTTCCTTACACATATGCACACACCTGCATATGGACTCTTTACCCCCTCCACTCAGGAAGGAGGCTGCATAGAATCAGGGCCAGATCAACCAGGCTGAGAAAAAGCTTCTTTCTAGAAGCTATAAGACTTGCAAACTTTACCAAACACTCGGAGTCTTTTCTCACGTGCAATAACAGATCACACTGTGCAATAAATGTGAATATTTTTATTCAATACCATTGTATTTTATTACTAGACAGCTACATTTTTAATCCCTTGTAACCTTTTTTCCCTGTAGAATTGAATGGTTCTTTTAAACTACAATGCTGTTCGAGGGACCTCGGGACCAAATTTCGTTCCCTAACATGCTACCCTGACGTTCCAGGAATGACAATAAACCATCTTGAATCTTGTATCGTTAAATATGGTCTGCAGTAAAACAGGAGTCTTTATAAGAAATAATAACTGATACGTTATTGACCCCCGTGGGGAAATTCCCCTTTGTCTCCCCCAACTTGCTCTAAATCCTAGGTAAGAGTACGCTGGCCATGAAGGACTTTGCCACCCATAGCAGCACCCAGGGAGCTGGGGGGTAATTTGCCTTGCTCAAGGACCCACAAATGTACCGAGGCTGGGCTGGAACCAGCAACCTTCTGGTTAGAGGCACAGATGCTTAGCCCACATGCTATAGTGGGAATGACACAAAATATGGATGCTACACAGGGTTAAATCAGAATCAGTGAGGATGGGGAGAATGTGTGTGTGTGTGTGTGTGTGTGTGTGTTGGGGTTGGTCCTGAATAAGCCACTCTGTACATTAGTTATCATATGTGTTTACGATCACAATGTTAAAGATGCAGTATGTTGGTATGTTGTGTTATCACTTCAAAACAATACAAAATACACAAAAAGATGTGTTCTAAAAAATATTTTTTATTTCTTGATAATTCACATATACTGCATGGTTAATTAGTACTTCACATTTTTCAAAAAGCTTTGTGGGTACATATATATGGAACGCATAAAAATGGCTTACATTCTTGCTTATTAATTTGTAATGCCCTTGTAAAAATGCATTAAAATATCAAGTTATTCACGGATTGCTATATAGACGTCTTACCTCTAGAAGAGCTTAGCTAGTACATGAAGTTTTGGCAGCAATATGATATGCAAAATAAGTCAAAATACAAAATCACTGGACAGAAATCAAGGCATCATGTAGGAATCTCATCTACTGGAGGAATGATTGTCTGGTCAGAGCTGCCAATGACAATTAACATTAAAACTGATGAAACATTTTTAGTGCAAAACTGACATTTTGTTAAACTGTTCACTTTGAATCTATTGCCAGTTTTTGGGACATTAAGAAAAATGGATAATGTTGAAGGGGGCGGAGCTGCGCTCTGGCAAGGTGCGATTTGGACATATGGAGGCGGAGCTGGGATCACCGTGTATTTAAACCCTAATGCTACATCTACTGCTTGGTGCAGTTATACCTCTAAGAGGAAGCACTTCTTCCTGTAACTCTTAAGTAGCCTTCAGTCACCATAAAGTAATGGAATAGGGATTTGGCAAAACTGAAAACTACTTAATCTGTATAAGGTTTTCATATAAGTCAACATCTATGAGCTATGACATTAACCACAAAAAGCCTTCTGCATCCTGCTTGCCTCATTCAGTCTGGGTTTTTCAGCAACTGTCACATGTGTCTGTTACTATCATATACCCACCACTAGATGGAGATATGTTCAACAAGGAGGACTGGTCATCCAATGACGTATGCAAATCAAGTCCAGCAAGACCTGAGGGGAAATGAGAGAAGCCAGGAAGATTGTTTGGAATGAGTGATGGTCCAAATGGGAAGGACAAAGGGAAGACAGATAGATCTGAAGGGAGTGATGCCTCCATAGGTAAATCTTCTTCCTCTTCATCCATAGACTGCCTTGGCTGACAGTGTTGTTCCAGTGGTTCATAGGAATGGCTGCTTTGGACAAATCCACTGTCAATCATCAAAGACCCACTGGAATCACCCTTCTCGCTGGCCTCTGAAGTGTGGTAATTGAAGTAAATTTGGCAGACCTCAGTCTCATTGGTGCATTGGTGACTAGAACAGATGTAGCTCATACCTTTGTCAAGGGCAGAGATTTCAATGGGGGAGATATCCTCAGAATGCTGGGGAGGGACAAAGTATTCTGGGGGAAAAACAGGGTGCATCCATTTCTGAAAGGAATTAAACAAGAGTGTCACACGATAATTCCGAAGTACTGTTGAATATAACATGAAGTCACAGAAGAATGAGTATTCCTGTACTCTGACAGAAATTATCCCAGGAGGTCCTGCCATGGAAATGGCTTAGAACAGCATGTTAAGCATCACAGATATAAACAAACTTGTTTAATTGGTTAAGCAGATTGTGCCCCAGTGTTTAGTCATGGACACACTCGAAGGAATCATGGGATGAAGGCAAACGTAACCACGAACAGGCAGAGCAGGCTTGCTGAGATGGATGCATGTAGCTGAAACTAAACTGGACTTGGGTCTGATACCTGGAAGCTCCCATTATGAACTGAATTCAGTCCTGTGAAGAAGGTTGAGGGATCAGGAACATGCGTGAACTTGTGAGCCCTATGAAACACATTAACAAGAGAATGAAAAATGATGCTCCCATCTCACTCATCTGGAAAGGTAGGAAATATAAACATACAGCATTTATACTGAACAATCTGTTAACTGGCCAGTCATCTTGACAAGCACATGTTTACTTTATTACATGTAGACGTGATCCTGTTTCTTTAGGTCTCTGGCCCGCCTCTTTACCTTTTGTCTTTCTATCTACCTCAGCAGGTAACAGTTTTTTTTGTAGTTTGAACCAAACCATCTACTGAGACCAGCACCCTGTTTCCCACTGGCTGTCCTCCCTGTGTCCCCATGCATTCATGCAACAAGCCCAGTCATAATCCCTAGTGCTCACCAGATGGACCGTTTCACTTTGATGATGAAGAAGAGGATGAGACACGACAGTACCACAACAGGGATACCATACTTCAATCCCACCAGAGCTAAATGAAAAGGAAAAGTTGTTTTCTGAATTTTTAAGAATCTTTTTGAGTGTTATTCACTTATTTAGGGATCGATAGGGGACAGTCTGTTTGACCGTTTGACATGTTCTGATCTGATCTGATCTAATCTAATCTAATCTAATCTAATCTAATCTAATCTGTCTACAAGCTTTCTCCAAGCAGTTGTTAATTTTCATTACTGATTTGCTTTGCCTAATTACAATATAACTCGATATAAGCCACAAAGGTGAGGAACATCTGAAGACGTGTGAAGGATGTATTGAGAGCCTCATAGAGACGCAGTACCTGGGGGCTCCGTTGGGGACACCCCAGCTGTAGACCTCCAGGAGGACACGGGGCTCCAGTCACTCCATTCCCCACTAAATCTCTCACGATCAACCAGAGCCCGAACCCTGAAGTCATACACGACCCCCTTCTCCAGTTTCTCCTCGGAGATCTCCACTGAGGTCCGCATGTCTCTCACGTTGACAGACTCTGCATTCTATGGGAGACACGTCACCGTTTAGCGGACGGCCTGGTGTTTTACCTGCTCATTTTTTTACAATTAGCCTCATTTCCCCCACCCTTGTCTTGCTAAACACCTAAACTGGTTTGCCTGAATTCCGGCAAGTGGCCACAAACAGCCGACCTTGCAGTGAAGAGTCACCTAAGGGCCAGCATGTCTAAGCTGGTAGAAGCTCAGATAAATATTTTCACCACAGTACTGGATATGTCCCTGATTAGGGGATCAGGGGGGTGTTATTAGTCTTTTTAAGCAACATACTTTGACTAAATACCACACACCAGCTTTGCATACCAGGACTTATGTCAAAGCTGACTCCTTGATGGCCATAGGCTTTGTAACAGCAGGTACATAACTTAGATGTGGCCGTGAACTTATATTTAGAAAAAAAAATTCAAGAAAGTAAATGTATCTTCACCACCCACCTCCCAGATCTGGTCTGACCGCTTGAATTGAAGTTGGAAGTAGTAACTGAAGATATATTCTGAGAGAGGGAATCCAGGAGACCATGCGATAGTGGCATTGGTGAAGGTGTGAAGAGCAGGGGGGTGCATTTTAACTAGACAAAACAACAGCGACAAAGAGGATCACTCTGACTATGTTTCACTCTTCGAATTGTGAACACTAACACAGAGATTCGGTTTCACATATTGCAGGACTGGCAAAAGCTGACTCACTGTGCAGTGATGGTATATAATTTTCGATGTGTGCAGCGGGACGGCTTGAGCTCCCACACGTGACTCTTATTGAGAGACGTGTGAAAGAACCAAACTCCTGAAAAATAAGGTGACAGTTGCTGAAAATTCGATTTGGTGGCCGTTATATTGGTATTACACTGCATCAGAGTAAACTGAGGCCATTTCTGAGCAGAGATCACAATGTTATCCTTTATCACCACCCCAATTCAGTTACTCGAGGGCATCATTAAAATCATTTGTTTATTTTCCCAAATGATATTACTGCATGTATGAAAAAATCCACAGAAAACAGGTTTTGTTCATTTCAGTGCTGTCATTTCATTTTTATCAAATGCTTTTATCCAAAGTGAGGTGCATTTTTGAGAAAGCAGGGTCAAACAGTCCCTGGGGCAATTTGGGGGTTAGGGCCTTGCTCTCGGGGCCCAACAGTGACATTACTCTGCTGCCGCTGCGACATTCCAGTCACGAGCACAGCATGCTAACACACTGAGCTGTTCATCATCTCCCATTTCTATCTACTGAATGTAGAAACAAGAAAATCTTACAAATTCATTTTAAAGTATATTTGCGTAACGCACCACATTTGGAAAGAAAAGGCTGCATCTCAGCAAGTTTTGGTCATGGTCAACGAAGGGCATCAGGTCGCATTCTCTACAGGGACATAAACATATGCAGGTCCATGACATCTCACCAGATTTTCCACATTTGCTTACAACCCTGTATTTGATATATCAAAGCTTTTGTGTTAAATAAGCAAATAACATGGACGGACACAACTTAATATCTGTCTATTATTTTCTATACCTTGTCTTTTAACAAGCAACTATATGAGGTGGGACCAACCAATCAGATGTTGTGGTTCCGCCTCTAGTTACTTGGACATACGTCCTCTGCAATATGATTGGCAAATTCTGAACCAATCATTTTTCCTTCTGACCTCAGAACATTTTTGCTCTATGAAACTCTGCAAACAATATGACCATCGCCATTGGAAATCAGCTAGCAACAGGAGCCAGGCACGACTTGAGTAACACTGCCTCCTACAGGCCACCTGTAAGATAGCATTTTACCATTTTAAGGCCAATTTACCACTAGAACTGGACTTAAACATTCAAGAGCACTGTCCCAAATCCAATCATGAAACAACTTTCAGAATGCCCTAAGAGCGAGACAGACTTATGTTGACGTTGGTAGAATCCGTGTAGGGTGCACGCTGTGTCGGGTTTTCGTGCCGTGCTGTTCCACACACAGGTGATGTTGTTGATGAGGTCATTAAGGCACCGCAGATCTGAGGGGAAAAAGGGGGTCAAAATGTCATCCATCAGTGTATTCAGTACTGGGTCACTATGCACTTGAAGCCCTGCAAGCACACGACACAATGCAGAGGAGCATCTACAGGACAATACATCAGTGTTTTTACATTTTATTCATTATTTAGCAAATGCTTTTCTCAAAAGCAACATACAAGTAAGGCAGCAGGGTCATCCGGCGCCTGCAGCAACTGGGGTTAAAGGCTCATGAGTCCAAAGATGAAACAGCTTGACCAACCACGGGATTTAAATCAGTGGCCTTCTGATCAGAGGCAGAGGATTAACCCACAGAGCCATTCAGCGACACATAGCTTTCTGGAGAACTGAGAAAAAAACCTGTGCAACACACCCGAAATGTGTAACCCTGATAGCGGGGAATCACACTATCCACACTTATCGTCATTGTGCATTTCTCTTTCGACCCATAATTTTTCGACTTCACTTACTCTGCAGGCTGGGCTGGGGAAACGTGCTGAGGAGCAGAAGGAGAGCGGGCAGCCACGTGCTCCACATCGCCGACTCAAAGCAGCGCCTCCCCCAGGCCTACAACCGGAATCAGGGCAAATGCTGAAATATGAGCAGAGAAACATCTACGAAGAGAACCGATGAAGCCAGAAAATGTGCTTAAATAAATGAATTTTCTTATATTTGGTTTCAGCAAAAATAACATAGAAGGTCACAGGTTCTATTTTACTTGTATAATACACATGCGCAACATTTTCTTATAATTTTCTTAAAAATATTACGCAAGACATTCTGACTCCGGCAAGGCAGTTCCAGCTGTAGTGCAGGGCCCCATCACCAGAGTGCAGTTAATCTGCATATCATGGCCTACATAAGAACATAAGAAATTTACAAACGAGAGGAGGCCATTCGACCCATCAAGCTCATTTGGAGAGAACTTAACTAATAGCTCAGAGTTGTTAAAATCTTATCTAGCTCTGATTTAAATTAACCCAGGGTTTTAGCTTGTGCTACACTAACAGGAAGACTATTCCATACTCTATCTACACGCTGTGTAAAGAAGTGCTTCCTCAAATTTGTTTTAAAATGTTCTCCCGCTAATTTCCACTTATGGCCACGAGTTCTAGTATTTAAACTAATATTTAACTAGCCATTTGGCTGAACAGCATCCAGACCTTTTAGAATCTTATATACCTGGATCATGTCCCCCCTTAGTCTCCTTTGCTTGAGGCCTCACACTGCATTTGAAATAGCCACATGTTTGTAGCATGTAAAGAGTTATTTGTCCAAAGCGTGCTCTCTTGCTTTCCTGTGCTTGTACCCGGCCCTTATTTGGTTCTCGTGTGTCTTCTATCTCTTTGTAAATACCCACCTTGTGTACCACCAACTGTAATTGTAAAGTGAAGTGTAATATATGGGCTGTATCAGAAACTGAGTCTATTTTCAATATACCTGGGTGTCATGGATTCGGGCGGCTCGGACACGAGAGCGAGGCATCAGGCACAAAAAAGGGCGAACGACCCACTTGCGGCTCAGAGACAGATGGGGATTTATTTAAACAAAAATAGAAAAACACTAAAAACGACTAACCAAAAACAAAGGACCACGAGGGGTCAAAACTAAAGGGGATAATTAAAGACTTAATATTACAAAAGAAAAACTAGGAAGGAAAACAGGATGCAGATCTAACCAAGACAAGCAACAATACACTCATAGACAATGAACCACTGGGGAACTACTACTACTACTACTACTACTACTACTACTACTACTACTACTACTACTACTACTACTACTACTACTACTACTACTACTACTACTACTACTTCTTCTTCTTCTTCTTCTTCTTCTTCTTCTTCTTCTTCTTCTTCTTCTTCTTCTTCTTCTTCTTCTGCTTGCTGTTTTATGGCGGCTGGCCACTGGGGAACTGAACAGAAGCAGGAACTAAAATACTAAAGGGGTAACGAGACTAACACAGGACAGGTAAGACTAGTTAACAAAGACCAGGGAAACAGGGCACAGGTGAAACTAATAACTCAAAGGAACTAAAAAACAGGGAAACTAAGAACTAACCAAGGACACAAGGAAACATAAACCAACACTAGGGACTTAAACAGGTAAAGACACAAGCAGGGGCACAAGGAACAAAACCAAATAGATAATCACCAGATACGATAACTAGAAACACTAAGGAGCAACATACAAAAACAGGAGGTGGGATTCAAACACAGGACAGAAGGGTACACAGACAACCACATGCTCAACACATTGAGCCACATGACCAGACAGGGAACAGAGGAGAACAAAGACTAACATGAAGGACGGGATGACCAGCGACACCTGCTGGTCAAACGGGGAAGGGACACGGAAGGACCACAGCAGGGGCTGACCCTGACACTGGGTGGAGCAGATGACCAAAATTTTTACATTGTTACAATTACATTTTTACTTCGCTATTAAGTATTGTGCAGTAATTGTGATGCATACAGGTACCAAAAGAATGAATCTGTGCAGGGAAGTAAACGCAAGGGTATAATCCTTTTATAATGGACTCGTTCCCTATGAACGAATCATTCGTGAAGGCCTCATCATTAATTCTTGTAACAGGTATTCTATAGGGTTTATAAATACATGACTTACTTAGATTTACAAGAATAAAGAGTACTTTAGGTTTAATATTTAATATTTAGCTATAGTTAAGTGACAGGTATGTCAAACATACTTTGGCTAATATACACTATATGAACAAAAGTATTGGGACACTTGGCCATTACACATACAGGAACTTTTATGACATCCCAGTCTAAACCCATAGACACCAATATGGAGTTGGTTCCCCCCTTTGCAGCTATAACAGCTGCCACTCTTCTTGGGAGGCTTTCCACAATATTTTAGTGTGTGTCTGTGGGAATTTTTGTTCATTCATCCAGAAGAGCATTTGTGAGGTCAGGCACTGATGTTGGACATGAAGGCCTGGCTCACAGTCTCCGTTCTAGTTCATCCCAAAGGTGTTTGAGGTCAGGGTTCTGTGTGGGCCAGTCAAGTTCTTCCACACCACACTCACCCAACCAAGTTTTTATGGACCTTCCTTTGGGAACTGGGGCACAGTCATGCTGGAACAGAAAAGGACTCTCCCCAAATGGTTCACACAAAGTTAGAAGCATAGAACTGTCCAAAATGGCTTTGTATGCTGACTTTCTGTGGTTCCTAAACGCTTCCACGTACAGTTGACATGGAATATCTAGCAGAGACGGAATTTCACAAACTGACTTATTGCAAAGGTGGAATCCTATGACAGCACCACACCTGAATTCACTGAACTTCCTTTCACAAATATTTGCAAACCTGAGTGCATGTCTAGGTGCTTGATATTATTCACCTCTCGCAAAGGGTCAGAATGAAACACCTGAATTCAATGGTTAAGAGGTGTGTCCCAATACCTTTTATCCATATAGTGCAGTGTCACAGAGTGACAAAGATTAAATTTTTCTGTTTTTTGCAAGTCAAAGTCTGTATTTTCATTAGAATTGTCTTAGGATGTTTTTCCAATGCACCAAGTATGGTACTTTTTCTCCTCCTTTTTTGTCTTGCCATGCCATCTTGATGCGGTGGAAAAGCTACCCTACCGTATGTGAATTGCTGAACACTATTAAAATGTAATGGCAAATATGCCTATTTCAAAATAAAAAGCAAGCATTTTATTTACACATAAATTTTTACTATAGGAGATACAGTACAAATATTAATACACATAAAAAAAGAAAAAAACTTGCTCTTTTTATTGTCTATTTTGCAGTCATTTAATTTATTTTTCTTTATTTTGTTATTTATTCTTATCGTTTTATATTATTTTGTTTTTCATATGTATATGTGACACATATCTGACAAATAAAACTTAAAGTTAATTGTGTGTTGTAATTCACCGATCACTCAGTACACAGTCACAGCGAGCTGATCAGCGAGCCCCCACCTATCCCGGGAAGGACAGGGCTATAGGCAGGGGGGGCTCCCACGGTTAGCACACCCAAAAACTCACTTTGAACAATTTGAGTTCTAGATTTTCGGACTGCAGAAGGAAGATACATTTACACAAGTGAATGAACAAGCCGCTTACCTTTTTGAAGCGGTGACCCAGTACGTTCCAACAAACGTGCCGCGCACTAACGCGCCGCTGGACTCTCCCTCGTCCCTCCCCCGTTTCTCTCGACCTCGTGGCCGCAGCTAGTATTTCTGTCCACACCGCTGATCAGCGACCGCCTGCGGATAAAAGGACGGGGAAAAAAACTGATGAAGTCACCAACTGCAGGAAACCTTAAGAGAGACAGAAAAAAGACACACATTATCTTTCAGGTGTTAGAGATGAATGTCAGGCTGCAGGCCCAACAAGCCCTCCCTTCGTGCAAGGTCTGAACACAGACTGTGCTCTCCTTGACTTCCAAAGGACGTAGACCCAACAAGCCCTCCCTTCGTGCAAGGTCTGAACACAGACTGTGCTCTCCTTGACTTCCAAAGGACGTAGACCCAACAAGCCCTCCCTTCGTGCAAGGTCTGAACACAGACTGTGCTCTCCTTGACTTCCAAAGGACGCAGGCCCAACAAGCCCTCCCTTCGTGCAAGGTCTGAACACAGACTGTGCTCTCCCTGACTTCCAAAGGACGCAGACCCAACAAGCCCTCCCTTCGTGCAGGGTCTGAACACAGACTGTGCTCTCCCTGACTTCCAAAGGACGCAGTGCAGACCCAAACAAGCTCATAACAATTACTGCATTCCTATAACATCACCTTCAGCTCTGGCCTGTGTGGTCACTCCTTTATAACTTGGGTGTGAATGTGAGCACTCTCCTCTTACCATGTGGAGAGAGGTGTTGAGCATGTGCTGATGAGACCCGAGTGCAGCCATGCAGCGGGTGATACCTCAGCACCACACTAGTCCAACAGAACACTGTGAGTTTTCTCCCCAGTGGCTGGACTGCCAATTCTACCACAAACCCCCAGATATCCCTGTAAGTTGGAGGACCTGCTTGCAGGGCTGGATGGAGATTAACATGATACCCAGGACAAAGCAATTTTAGGTTAAGGGCCTTGCTCAAGGGCCCAATGGAGTAGATTCACTCCTGGCATTCACAGGATTCGAACCAGCAACCTTCCGATTGCTGCCGCAGATTCCTAGTTGCTGAACCCCCATCATAGAGGTACCTTTAAAGGTTCAATTGTTGTTGGAAAAGACATAATCAGATATGGTGTAAAAAAAGTATATAAGGGGATTGTAGATGCTAGAGTGCCACACCCCCCCACTCAATAGCTGAATATAGCCAGACACGATACAAGCATCTAATTTCACAGATGAGGATGGTGTAGACTCAGTGCGACACGTATCACCTGTTCGGGGTGCCCCACCCCTACCTTTTGACTCCATCACTGAAAGACCAGCTTGACGGTACTCATGCCATCTTGACACTTGAGCTCAGAGTCCTGCAAACTGCTAGACCAAGGTTACAGTCTGCTGGTGACAAATTTGTAGGGCTGTACAAAGGCCACATAAGCATCAAACGGGCTCTGTCTTCCAGACCACTATATGCAGAGATGCACAAGAAGGCAGCCCAAACCCGGAAGAGGGCTGAATGGTGCCAGTACTGACCTGGCCTACTTTGGCTTTGTGGGTAGTAAAAAAAAGTAGCAAAGCTTCATTCCAAATCTCTTTTTTAATTAACCACCTTACAGTTTTTCTCAATTGCTTTGGTGCATTTCATGAAACATGCTTAACATTCTCAAGACCATAAGAGCATTTCGCAAAACAGGTCATGCATACAGCAAAGCACTATGCTTTAGCTGCAAAAACCTGTAACTTACCCAAAACAATTAACTCATGTCTCAACAGCAAATAATTTCACCAATGAATTAGTCAGGGCCACCAAAATAAAAAGTGCAATCAGCATTGTTTTAACAATGAGCATCAAAATGCTTAGATATTTTGGCAAAATGTCAGAGCTCCACAATTCTGAATGATAGTCAGTTCCCACTTTCTCATTGTCTCTGACTGATCATTTTTCTTTATCATTTTTCCATATACAGTATGTCATTCTTCTCAAGACACAGAACAATAGCAAACGGAAAAAAAAGCACTGAATAACACAAAAACAAAATGACACCAAAATTATGTACTGTGGCAACCAAAAACACAACAATGCCGTATCACTGCAATTTATAGAATATATTTTTAAATCGCTTTGAAAGCTTGGTTAGCGGTTTTGCAGGTGATGACTAATACGATGATCACCTACATATATAGTTTTGGGTGTAAAATTATTACAGTGGGAAAATACGTAATCAATTTTGGCTAAAGCAACTGAAAATTGTATCAAATTGTGACAATTCTACAAAACCATTTGCATATATGTACTAAAACATTTGGAAATTTGTGTGAAGCGATGAGAAATGATGTTCTGCTGTGCAGAAGTGACAATATGGTGTGGAGATTACACGTGTTGTTTTGCAAATGTTACCTGTCATTTGAGAAATGCTCCAAAGCGATCGAGAAACTGTAAGCATAGTGACAGGCCAAGTTTTCAGCATTCTGATTTTGTTTACAGAGCTTCATCTCATGTTACAAGCTGAATTGTGCTTGTGAATTGTACTTCATTTCATTTCATAGGCACCAGAAGACATTTTGTGCTCCAGGTGCTGAAAGTCGGAACAACCGATAGATTTTACCGAAGTTCTTTTGTATCATCAGTAGCGATCTACAGTTAACACCAAAATAACAAGCATTAAACTTTTTCTCGATTGCTTGAGTGCATTTGTCAAATAAGAAGTAGCATTGGTAAAACAAGTGTTATCCACAGATTATGATGTCACTTCTGCACTGCAAAACATCATTTCTCATTATGTCATACACATTTCCAAATATTTTAGCACATGTATGCAAACAGCCTTGTACAATTGTCATCACTTGGCATAATTTGCAGTTGGTTTAATCTTTTTGGTCATAATAATTTTACACCCAAAACTATATATATATATATATATATATATATATAAGTGATCATCCTGTAATTGATAATGTACGTAGTAACAGCATGGCATTCTCCAATTGTGTGGTCAAAAAAATCCTTAGTTCATAGACATAAATCTCTAAGCCTTAAGAACAAATTAAAATATCGTTATTTTATTTATTTATTTATTTTTTATGAAAACCCGAGGACTAATCATGATTCTCTTGACTGGATTTAACCCTTGACCTTATTGCATGAATTGTTCAATAACACAGTATTTCAGTTTTCTTCAAACTATTTTTTAATGTTTACACCTTCTTCAGCTACTCATCATGGCTGCCTTCCCAGAGGTTTTTCAGTTCATTACCACATTGGTTACTTTTACTTCCTGCCATTGGTAACACTGCAATCCACCAGCAAAGATGCATTTAAAAAGAAAAAAAAATAGAATACATTTGGCGATTAAACACTAGCATGCTCATGTAACTGCAGTTTGACAGATCCCTCCTAAAAAATGTATATACATATATACATACATAAACACATATGAATACTGTAGGAAATGTGCAGTGTGGTTGGCATTTATCTTTCCAGTATAATATATTCAACACATTTGATGCACTTCATGAAACATACTTCACATTCTCAAGTCTATAAGAGTATTTCTCAAATCAGTTCATGCATAGAGCACAACACTATGTTTTAGCTGCAAAAGGCTAAATTAACTCTTGTCTCAAAAGCAAACAATTCCACCAAAATGAAAAGTACAATAACCATCATTTTAACCATGAAAGTCCAAAAGTCAATGTAAGTATGCTCCTGAGTTCCACAATTCCACTTTCTCAATGTCATTGACCGATCATTGTTCTTTAGCAAACTGATACTTATTCTTGTCAAAGACAACAGTTTCAACACTGCAAGGATCTACATTACAGTATGTAAAGTTCACTGGCAAGAGCAAACACTCGCATGCACACGTAACTTTTCAGCCAGCACACAAATATGCTTAAACGCACAGATGCACGCAGCCCCAGTGAGCACACAAAGGGGGAAATAGCACAGAAATTATATATTTATGTGTGTTTGTATAAATATATAGATAAAACCCACAGAGACGCGATTCTTCCTGCCATGCATCCTGTGAATAATTCAACCACAGACGTGTGAGAGCAGCCTCTCACCTCATACTCCAGGACCAGTCCCCCCCCTCCCCCTTCTGTTTATGCTTGTTCTAGTGACCAATCATCTGCAGAACGGCCAGGTCAAAGGTCACACAGTTCCTGATGCAACAGGGCGGTTTCATCTTATTTGAAGCGAAATGAAACTTTATTTGCCATTTGCACAAGCATGAGTATCGATGCAGTGGATGTGGTGGTTTCTGCATGTCCCATCTCCTCTCCTTTGTGAGATACACACACAAATACATAAAGGAGAAAATGTGGTCTGAACACAGGGTCAGACATTTTTCTGGCGCTCGGAGGCGTTTTGTAGTGGATGGGATTGGTGAAAACAGATCATGGATGAATCAAAACATAAAACATTCCAGCAAGCGGGCACAAGTAAGTGTTTCACTGCCTCTGACCTACTGTTTCAGTCAATATTGCTAGTTTTACATATGCAGTGATAGGTATCCCACCAACCTGCAAAACAGGTGCTAGAATGAGAACATATGGAGAAACAGGACTACCATCAGCACAGTAGCTTAGTGGGTAGTACTGCTGCGTCCAGAGGTGGACGCTTGAGTCTCACCCCCGTCCATGGGTGGATGTTCTCCCCATGTCGTGTGAGTTTCCTCCATTTCCACCTACAGTCCAGCATCATGTGGTAGGGTGACTTGGTGTCTCTAAAATGTGTGTGTGTGTGTGTGTGTGTGTGTGTTTGTCTCTTACCTTGTGTGGGAGTAACAGGAATTTTTACTTGGCCCGATCTCCACCCCCAAGCCTTCAGCTGGCAAATGTTAATGGGGGCTCTTGCCGTTGTGGTGCTGATAGAAATTGTCCCTTGGTTGTAAAATGATTGGGGACCCCTGTCGTAAATGATCATCGATATGAAAGCTATCAGATATTACTTCCAAAACTGTGAAATAAACAGAAAAACGTAAAATACTTTCTGTTACTATTTTTGAATACCAACTGTCTTTCTTGATGGAAATTATTTGAGGAAATGTATTCCAGTATATTGACTTTAGATGGCTTCACTCTTTTGTGCAATGTACTCGAACCATAGAAACAGCCAATGGTAATGGTACAATGACAACATTTTGTAGTAGCTAGCGAAGTCCTAGCTAGTTTCA